CTGACAAATGCACACTAAAGTGTAATAGGTCAACATCAGCATAATATATTAGCTCCCCATAAGGAAAATAGGTTATTCATTCCTGTGTCAGTGTGAAGGACGATGTGTGAGAGAGACAGGCCATGCTGTGTAAGGACTCGAAGTCAAGTCACCTGGATTTTATGCCTGGTGTCAGCAAGTTCTGCAGTCTTAGCACACCTCCCAACCCTTCTCAGCCTCCATTTTCCCCTTCTAGAAGATCATCAGGGTCCGACTTTCACTAGGCAGGGAGCACCAGTGTGAGGGTGCAGTGAAAGAACCCGAGCATAGACTCCTGGCCCCCCAGTGCCTGGCACATAACAGGAGCCAAGGAGTAGGGATCTTTTAAGGAATTCTGTTTATCCATTGTTCCCCAGGCCTGCTTTTTAAAGGTCAGGTATTAAGGTAGAATTTATTATTTATTCATAGCTATATTTATTTATAATTTATTGACTCAAATATTTAGTGAGGTCCCAGTGTGTCAGACGCTGTGCTGTGTATAGGCTACAGAAAAGAGGCTGCCAGGTAAGTCCCTGCCCTTGGAGCACACAAGGAAGGAGCCGATGGCTGGGTCAATGAGCGTTCGGACGAGGCAATCACGGCCGGTGAGAATGTACAGCCAGCAGGATTCTGCGGCAGTGACAGCTGGGGGCTGTGCCAGGTGGAAAGGGCAGGTGCTATAGAGGCAACATCTTTGCAGCTGAAAACTCATGCATGGACTCTGCAAGCTGGTGAAAATCCCATTTAATGGAGATGGAATGTGAGGATCAGAAAGGCTGAGGAACTTGCTCAAGATTACACAGCCAGTGACTGGGGACAAGGATTCAAGCCCAAGTCAGCAGACACCAGAAACCTCAGGCTTTTTGCCCCATACCACCCTCCTTCTCTCCTGGGTCCTGGGCCGTCTCTGTCGGGCAAGGGGGAGGGGGAGCAGGGGGGCAGGGGCATGAGGTCTGTGTGGCCTGCTGCTCTGCGACCATCACGCCATACCCTAGCAGCCCCCAAACAGCCCTGGGCACTGGTGACCTCACTGCCCTGGTCTCCCTGCCCTCCTGTAATGGAGAGGTCCAGCTTCTGCTTCATTCCCCGCCACCCTGGACACCTGGCGTTGCCAGGCTCTCAGCAGAGACAGCTGATCCCCCCGCACCTCCTGAGGTCTCTGCATCATGAAGACAGAGACGCGAGACACGTGTGCAGCCCAGTTCCCTCTCTCATCCCCCTTTCCTTCCTGTCTCCTTCTTCTCCCCTGTGTCTTCCGCCTCCCTCCTCGCCTCCCTCCCTGTACCCCTCTTCCCCTCCCTCTGGCTCCTGCATGCTCCTAAGATGAAAAAACCAATTAATCTTGCTGCCACCACCACCGCAGAGCTGCATGTAGGTCCGTGGGCATCGGCATCCCTACCAGGGCTGCCTAAGTGGTCCCTGGAAACCGCAGCTAAATGGGGAAAGATTGCATTCATTCTTCCACAGCCCAAGCACTGCAAAGGGGGCTCTTCCAAATTAACCAAGGTCTCCAGCCTGCTCTTTCTACCTTGACATGTGGGCCTGCAGGCTGAACATCCTTTTCTGCAATCACACACATCCCCTTCAGCAGCACAAACAACAAAGAACTTGAGGGCATTTGATTAACATGGTGTAGGTTTACATGTTTACTTATCCTTGTATGTTCATTCATTCCACTGATGTTTATTGAGCACCTACTATGTACCAGATAAATACATACTATGTCTGATGGTGATAAGTGATGTTGGAGACAATGCAGAGACAGTGAGACATATGGTAATAAGTAGAGGAGTTTTAGAGAAATGGAGATCATGCAGGTCTTTCATGCTGGGGAAGAATATCTATTTCCTTTATACAAATATTATGTGCAGGACAAGTTAAGTATCAATGAGATCTTTGTACATCAAAGCATATTCTAAATCAGACATAGGCAAAGCTTGTAAATTAACATGAGCAAACCTCTGAAACTTAGTTTCCTCATAAGAAAAATGTGTTTAATACTTCTTGTTCCAGCCAGCTTACAGGGCTGTTGAGAGACTCATGGAATGAAATTTTAATTGTGTGGAGGTACCGTGTAACCTGCAAAGCACTGTGTTCCATCAGAGTAATATGACTGCCGTTAACATGCGGGGCAGAGCTGGCAAAGTAAATTACCACCTCCAAGTGGAAATTCTGCGATAATCTGATTTCCTTCCATTTGGTTGGCTAAAGTGAAGATTATGCTTACATGCTCTCCAACCCTGGGCAGGCAGGGATGGAGTCTTATTAAGCCTTGAGGCTGGAAGAGTCCTTTGTGTTGCCCCTGGCTATGATTTGCTGTTGGCAGTAAAAAGCGTCCTGTCTGAGGATGTCTCTTACAATCTTAATTTCAGAGCACCAGTCAACCCTGAGACCCCAGCCTACAGTCACCTTATTTCATCTGAAATCAGAGCGTGATAATGAAATACCCCATCCAGGCTTCTTGGCTGCAGCTCCTCCCATCTTGGAACACTGTTCACCCAAACACTGGAGGAGCTGCGGGGCCTGACCGACACAGGGCTGGGGAGCCCCTTACCGGAGAGAGAAGCTGTTTGCTCCATTAAGTTTCTTTCTTCACATACAACCTTTTGTTGCGAAATGGAATGATTGCCCCTTGGAAGAGGAATTCATTTTACTCAAATAACACCACTAAATTACAAGGTTTATGGCAAGTGTCTCCAGGAAAGTGCTTAGCAGCAGTCAGATGCTTATCCAGACCCCTTGCCTCCTTGGGACCACCTGCAGGTACAGTCACAGCCTAACTGTGAGAATATATGACAGGACCAATGGAGAATGTGGCTTGTAAATTATTCTCTGACACTGTTTATGGAGAATGAGATGATAGTGAGGGTGGGTGGTGGCAGGATGAATGATCAATGGCAAATGTGTCTTCACCAGACATTTCAAAGACCTCGGGGTAGAGCCTTTCCTATCAGAAAGAGAGTAAAATGGATCCATTAATCAATACACTCCTACTCAGGGCAAATCAGAAAAGAGCCTAAAATATTTCCAAGCTAGACTAGAAGCTCTTGGTTTTGTTGGAAAGAGAAGACACTCCTATGGATAAAGACAAGAGCCCAGAAGAGAGACAGGAGGTGAGAAAAAGGAACACTATCCAATCTCCTACTGGGACAAAGAACTTAAATTAATCGTCTCGCTTCATCAACATCACTACAAAGCAACACCAGCGTTTTGCATTTTATGGACAAAAATACAGACAATGGAGAGAAAATGACTCGCTCAAGTCCACAGAGCTGGTAAATGGCATCCAATGTCGTTTTAGTCTGCGTACCTCTGATGGGGCCAGAATCAAAGCGAAATTTCGAACTGACCTCCTTACTGATTTTGTCAGAGATAAGCACAATTTCAGAAAAACAAAACACTGAACTGGGCTTCCTCTCACTCCATTCTTTAAGGGGGGCTGAAGAGCCAGGAGCTGTAGATCTGCCGCTTTGAGGCCCTTTCCTTTGATAAGCTGCATTTCTAAATAAATAATTATCCTCATTCATTTGTGTCTGCACAGCCAGATCTCCTCTCTCTTGCTGACTATTCCCTTCCCCCACTGACATCTTCCCACGTTCACTTAGCTTCCCTCTTTCTTACACACACACACACACACACACACACACACACACACAAATCCAGACATGCACACCTTCCCACCACACACCCATATGCAAAATAAAATTAGAAATACCATCCGACTCCCAAGGTATTTAAGGAATAGAGATCTTCAATCAATATGGCCCAAACGGAGCCCTTCCAAGCCAGTGAGAGAGGCAGGCAGAGCTTGTGGAGGGGACCAGACAGCCATACCTGTGACACAGAGATGCTCTGAAGGGGAAAAGGCCACTTGTGCTTTCTTATGTCTGTCCTGTGACCACTAGAACTCACAGAGCTACCCGATCTTCAGGGGCCACCCCCTGGCAGACCACTCTTCTGCTTGCCTTTAAAAGCCTTCAGAATGTGAGAAGGTTTCCTGGCCCCTTTTTTATTTTTATGTATGCTCATAAAATACAGAGAAAACAGCGGCTGATGATTCAAAAATAGAGGCTAAGCCGATTGGCATGTGGCCCTCACTTCAAGGGACTGGGGACTGCTCTTGTTGTAATCAACCACTTGAGAAAGCAGCAAACAATTATTTATATGGTATGCTTGCCTCCACCCAGAGTGGAGCAGGGCGGTTAGGGGAGCTATGAGGACTGAGGCTGTGAGGCCCCCAGTGGCCATGCAGTGTTTAGTGTTCCCAGGCTCCCTTGGCCACCCTCCCCGGACCCACGCTGATGTTGCTCCCTTCTCACAGAACCCACCTGGAAACGTCAGAGTCCCGGGAAGTGATGGAGGGAAGAACAGGGCAATAGGTTGGGGCTCTAAGCAGAAGCTCCAGGTGCAAGCTCTGTGTTTGGATGTACCTCCCGATGCCCTCTCTTCCTCCAGATCAAAGGTGCTCGTGGTCTAGGGTGAGGCTGGTTTGTGTAGAGGCAGAGAGCAGGAGCACTAATGCTACCGCCAGTTGGGACCCCAGCTCTGTCACTCACCTGCTGTATGACCTTGGACAGGTGACTTACTTTCTCTGCGTCCCAACCTTCTCATCCCTAGAGTGAGGCTCATCCAGCTTCTCAGATCGTGCTGATGGGTTTAATGAAGGGTTGTATGCCAGAAGCTTAGCACTGTGCCTGGTACACAGGAGGGCGTCATATGTAGTGTCAATACAGTGATTACCATCTAAGACCTGAATCGTGCTTATCCTGGACAGGCCCTGTTTAAGAGCTTTATGTCTATTGCCGTTTAATCCCCACCTCTCTATTCTACCGAGGACACTGGAATCTAGCAGCACAAGTGTGGATGTGCACATCCAAGCCCAGGCAGACAGGCTCCAGTCCTGTCTCTCAGCCCTTGGGTACACAGCCCTCCGAGGAGATGACGCTGGTGTTCACGCGTGTTCTCCGGCAAACTGAGCCACCAAACCCCAGGTTTCCTTTGGTCCGAGTCGGCAGCAAGGGAGGTTATTGGTCACAGCCAAGAAGAAAGAAGGAGGGAACGACAGGTTGATGGCTGGATCAGGGGCGAATTCCCATCTCCCAGTTGGAACCTACGCTGAAGTCAGGCAGAGCGCCCCAACCCGAGCGATGGGAGCCGAGAAGGCGGGGAGGGGTGGGGGGCCAAGTCCACAGTGCTGAGCCGTTGGCCAGAGCACCGCCCCCGGGAGCGGAGGGAGGGGTGGCGGGGCGGGAAGGGGGGCAGCTGCCATCCCCGCTGCCTCCTGGGCCCCACTCGCTGGCGCCCAAGTGGGAGCACGGCAGCGGCCCTCTCCCTCCTCCCCACACCCCGCTACCTGCCCAGTCCCCGAAGCGAGCGTGAGAAGGCAGCGAGCCAAGCCGGGCCAATCCCACAACTTTGCAGCCGCGGGGAGGGCGACAGCCAGTGTCCGGGGCTCCTCTTCTCTGCGACCCGAGATCGGTGAGTTGTTTCCCCAGCCCTCCATGGCGGGTGGCGGGCGGCGGCGGGGGGCGGCTTCCCGGGCCTCGGAGGCGGTGG